ATTGCACGTGGCTGGTGGGGTAACCGGACTAGCAATGCTGAGGTTAGGCCTAGAGTTTTAGGCACTCGCGGTCGTCCACTGGAACAAGTGATCGACCTCCGTAGATTACGTTGGTTGGCCGCATGTGTTACGCATGCCACCAAATAGGCTGCCACGGCGAGCGATGTTCGCCTAGGCGGGTAGTAGGTGGAATAAAGCGAAGTGTGGTCAAGCTAAGACCTGGCATGAGGGTATGAAAACCCTAACCAGGAGACTAGGTCACATAGACCCCGTTAGGCTCCGTGGTTGGGGACCTCGGGATGATGGTTACCGATGGTTATGGTGATATGGCTGGGTGTCGCAAACAACGGCGCTCGTGCATCCACTCAGTATTCTCCATCTTCCACTTTACTTTCAACATTCCAATCTTCATTCTGCTCTTTTATCTAAAGGGGCACCAAAAGACAATAACAAACCGGTGCACGAAAGTACATGGCTAATGGTTGTAACAAGTGAACTGCACCAAACTGCTTATCCAAAATTTTTTCGATTAGTTCGCTTGTGCCCTACTTATTGGGTGTAGTATTTCCCTCGTTAGATGAACGTCGTTACTCTGAAGTTTGTTATGCCTCACTCATGTATAAGCCATCCGTAACCGAATTTTCGGTTTATGTATTCGATCTTTACAACTCACCAACTTGCAAACTTCTATAGTTTATGTGAACAGTTTACACTAATAAACGTAGGTTTTTTTAAGTACAAGCTGTCGATAGCTACATTCGAGAGAATGTATAGTTACCGAACTAACGTGTCTGGAAACGCTTCCTGCGTTGGCTTACAAAGCCGCGCTCCATGGGCATGGAATATAAATCCGAGGTAGACCTTACCGAGACATCGCATTTTGTTTGTTCACCCAGGAACGAGAGTATCATATCAGTATTTATTAAAATTTTCACCTCCATGCTGTGCACGTGAAAACAAGCAAGATCAGGTTATTGACAACATGAAAACTGAAAGTTCTTCTGACTCAGGTACGTTAGGTTAAGTTACTTCCATCAACCCTCTTCTGTGCTGCCTTTTTTCATCTTATCCGGTACCTTTGGTTGTTCGGGTTCATAACTGTTTCAATACTAAACTCCATGAAAATGAAAAGATATTGGTTGCCTTCTTTTTTTTTATCACACTGTATTCCACAACACAAAAATTGAGTGTTTATCCGTTTCTAGTGGTTATGCATATGTAGACTAATCTGCTACAAATCATGATAATTCGGACTCAGTTGCACGGTATCTGGTATTTTAGTTTATACTTTTCTCATTCATTATTTCTAAACAGCGTTTCCACTCTACCAGCTGCTGAACCGTTAGAATCCATTCCCGATTCTAATAACATGGAAGTTAATGTGGAAAGTGGTTCAACTCCTGCAGATCGTGCACGTTCTCCAAACAGCTATCAGTATGATCACATGGGCGGCTTAGATGTGGATGATGAGGATGACATCGGTCTCGTTGTACCCAATACCTCGGCCATGGGACGACGTGGTTCACTTTTGCTCTCCGATGACACGGATGAGGAGCTCAGTGATTCACTGGTTGACGATTTGAAGTTACCAATGAGCGCCTGGCGTCGGCGTTCTTCTGCAACATCCCCAGCCATTAATCCTCCGGGGATCAATGTGCCTGCACCAATCGTCCTGGCTGAATTACCACGTCTTTCTGAACTCGCTCGCGTGGATCGTTCGGGTACCGTGCCCGATCCCCATGCCTCACTAGTAAGCGATATCTGGAAGTTGTCTGTTGTTGTTCTCCAATCCTTGACCATTCGGAAAATGGCATAAAGATAGACGATTGGTGTTCAAACACCGCTGTCTACGTCGCATTGCTCGAATTCGGCAGTAAAACTGGACGAGCGATCCTAAGATTAGGCGCAGCGTTTTCAGCAATCTCAGTTGTCCCCTGGGGCAGGTAGTCAGCCTTCATAGACTGTGTTGATTGGGATGTGTGCTGCGCATGTCACCAGATAGGTTTTCACGGCGAGCGAGGCGGGTCCTGGGTAGAACAAAGCCAAGGGTGGTCAGCTAAGACCCGGCATAGGGGTATGAAAACCCTAATTAGGACTCTGGGTCACATAGGTCCTGTTAAGCTTCTTGGTTGGGGACCTCGGGATGATCGTAACCGATGGTTAGAGACACAGTGATATAGCTGGGTGTCTTAAACAGTGGTGTTCGTGCATCTTCCCAAATTATTTGCATCATTATTCCACTGAGCTTCTCAATTTTCGCTTCGATCCTATTTTCAACCCTCCTGTTCTTCTCCTATTTTTCACTCAAGTGGACAGCCAAAAGACAAATACCAAAATCGACGCACGGAAGTGCGTGCTTATTGGTTGTGTAAACTGAAACCGAAATTGATATGTATGATGTATGTGCGACTAAGTTTAGACGATTCAGAAGTGGTTGTTTGATCCTGAACTTCAGTGTGCAACTGAGTCAACGCGTTTTGTTCTGCGTTAACAAGCCGTCTACCTCTAACTAGGCCCTCACTCATTAGCCGTCCCATTTCGACAAAGCTTCTCGGATGAAGTTGATGAACCCCAGCAGTGACCACTAACCTGTCTGGAATAATCATGTATTTGGATGTACAAACGCTAGATTTGTAGCCCAGAAAAAGCGAATGGTTATGGAGATTCCGCTTTTAATTTTATTCCTGAGAATCCCCAGTCGAATGTTGCGGTCTATTGAACGACCTTTCCTCTAGTTGGAAATATTGATGTATAAGATGATGAAGGTAATAATAGTTATCCGCACGTTCTCCGGGATATCACTTTACACCGTACATAACAGCTGATTTCTCTACTATTCAACTGAACTTACATGATATCATTCTCACTGAATTTTTGCTTTGTATTTACAGTCGCTCGTTTGATGTGGCCTTTATTTTCAATTCACACGCTGTGTGGAATTCCATATCGCTCGGAATTGTAACCCGCTTAGCTGAATTCGGAATCCCTTATACCACGTGCAGTGTCCCCACATGACCAGTATTAATATATTGCCAAATAGATCTCATCCTATCTTCACAAAATGATGCCACATTAAAAACCCTCTCTCAATCAATCTGTGTCTATACCCCATTTCCCTCGTCCCCATCTGCTTTCTGGTTGTGGTCTTGTGAGCAGATTTAGCATTTATTCTCTTTCAGAATCTCAAAATTTCTCATAATCTGTCTTCATTTGCCTCGATTCTGCAGCCCGGTGATGGTGACGCTAAATTTGAATTACATTCCATCGCAGTATCCCCCAGACTGGATATTGTATTGCTTAGTGGTGAAGGTAAACTAAATTTAGACGTGGTTCGAGCAGACGGACCAGACGACTCGACGGAGTCAATCGAAACCGCAGTCTCACTTCCGTCCGTGTATTACTTGAAACGGAACGGCAATCGGTTCTATCTGGATCAGTCACGATCGCTTCGATTGCCTCCCTGTTCCCTGTGGTTCGAGTCCGTAACCGCCGAGATATCCGGCTCCGTGTACACTGCTGTCTCAGCCGTTTCGGATGATAGTCAGTTCGTGGCTATTGGTTTATCTAATGGATTCGTTTGGCTTTACAGCTTGGAAGAGGTCGGGTGGGTCTGTTGCATATCTACCTATATTGCCAATATGTGGATCAAACTAATGGATGATTCATCCGGCGAATGCAATGGTCATTCTGAAACAGTAAGCACTGTACATATTTAAGCTGTTCTCGATTGTTTTATGTTGTTTAGAAGTTCTCTTTCCTTGTTTATAGTGGACAATTTCGCACACTGTCTATCAGTGGAGGACAGTTGAACACTTATATTCCCACTCGTTTCGTCGGGAAATATGGCTGATCGTTCTGTCGTCATTGTTAGCCGCTCCATTTTATGATTGGGTGTACGCGTTTTGTACATTTGGATATCGTAAACTTCCGGTAGTTCACAGCTCATTCCAACAATGCTATCAGATAATCGTGCAAATTCTTTGAGAATCACGTGTTGTTTCCAACAACCGTGTATGCCGTACACCGTAAGATTTACCGACTTTCAGATATCTTTTATTCGTGGGACTTATCATTCTTGTTTATGAATTACGAAACCAGGGGAAATGTTTTATCCAGAAAAACCTTGTGAAAGTCGGTAACTGGTATTGGGAACAACAATTCACATAATGCTCTGTTGGCACTTCTTTCGTATCACGAGTAAATGGTGACCAGTTACCGAAATTCGCGGTCAGTTCAAAAGTGCGTCAATCTTATCCCCTCTGGCAATCGTTTTTCTAGCTATTCCATCTATTGGATAGTAATGCGAGTACTCCCTTACTACTACTTTGTTCAAGGGGATGGAATTCGTATCTATGATTTCTCAACGGCAATGTCGTATTACGTGATTCACCCACCGTCATTCAGCCCACATTCCTTTCTTCTTAAACAATATCTAATTAAAGATAAACATGAAAACTGAAGAAGTTTTCTCACTATCCGCATCCGGAGCCCCCGCGGTTGTACCAGGGATGATCCAATCAAAAGTCATTTAAATATCCCGGCTTCATCGAACGTACCAATGACCAGTGACAAGATGAGATCGCTCTGTGAATTGACTAATCAGAAAAGCATTCATACGGCTACGTCACACTATCGTCGTCATTCTATACACAGCCGAAGCGCTAGCTATCCACACATTTGACCCCCCTCCCCTAAATGCAACCAAAAGCATTTCGGGCTCTAGCCTTGCCCCGTGGCCTCGAATGAAGAAACCCACCCCACCTCATTCTCGGGAACGCACCAATGAACTAATCAAAATAAGCATGAGGTAAACATTCCTAGCATACACTCTGTACTTAGTTTGATTCGATCAAAATCAGGTCGACGAGCCCAAATAACCCTATATAATTGTAATGGCCCGTTGATGAATTTATCCAAATGCGGCTTGTTTCGCCTACCGGACTTTGTTTTTAATACTATTACCTTCACCAAATGCATGTCGTTTTGAACGGTCAGTTTTCCAACAACAAAGTCAGACTGCGGTACCTAATCACCTGTAACTTATGGACACTTCTGTGGTTAGGGCACATTTCAAAGCGCCGAATTAACGAGACGGAGCTGGTCACTTCGGGACATTGGCAAACACGGTAAGGTCGGCGTGGGAACACCTAGGCCTACCATGGATTTCAGATTCCGGTTACAGAACCGTGTTTGGGTCAACATAAGTATCGACTTTGCCACCAATCACCATCTGGTGGAACCTGTCTTTTGAAATGTCCAGTGAATCACCGATCAGTTAACGGGAAATGTTCTCGAGTAAGTAAGAGCGAGTAAGGTGCTAATTACGATCGTCATGTAATGAGTAAATGTCGTGAACTGTGCTCAACAGAAATAAACGTCATCTTCTCAACTCCACTATATTGTCCTTTCCTTTCTCAATATCCCTTTTTCGTCCAATGCATCAGCTATTGAAAGAACGCACTCAAACTGCACTGGATGCTGGGACAGTTCCAGCCACATGCTTATTTCTTCCCAGTCTGACTAACGATGAGGACAAGCTATTTACCAAGCCACAAATCAACCATATGATTGCCGCCGCAATCGGTTCCAGTGTTCTAGTGAGTCCCCCCACCCCCTATTCTGCTATTCACCATACTCCCCACGCGATAACTTAATTGCTAAACCCAGTTCGTGTTAGAATGCGTTCGAAAATCCCCAGATATGCCCCCGTAGTAAACTATTCGAATGGAGACAACACAACGTTCCGTGAGCTTGTTTATATCAGTTAGGTATAATGAAAATTCGCAAAGCGTTTCTATGTAACGTAAGGTTTTCCTGTGTAACAGAATAGCCCCTAAGAATCTGATTCTTACAGGTCAAACTTGGGCTCAATGTTCTAAAGCAAAAACAGTGCACTAGGAAAATATGTTCGAGTATTATTGATAGTTAAGAAAATTCCTGATTCCTCGGGTAATAGTTTGTTTCTGAGATGGAACAATCGTTTCTTGCAAAATTTTCGAATTCGGTAGTTGTGTATAATCTCAACCGTCGACCTAATCTCGTAAGCAGTATTTTTATGCAGTGTTGGTGATTTGTGGTAAAGAAGAATTGGAGGAGATGTGCGAAGGTGTGGTTTGGGAACATTTACTTTCCCTTATGCTTGATTCTTCATTTAGAAGTTACTATTTCTTGTGCATGGATATTTGAATGTATTGACTTGAAATAGCCAATTAATTATCTTTCCTTAGTGTTTGTTTGACCAAAATACAACATCACTGTTATGTCGTTTATGTTCACTCACGACTAACACACACTCACAACAAGGCTAACACACACTGACTAAAGAACACAGGACGGTGTGAGATACAAATTGTACCCGAAGAGAGAATCAATGGAGGACAGCACAACACAATGGTAGTGGCACTCATTACTGACAATGAGCCAGGGCACAGATTGGACACAGTCGCGGTGCATGATATCACATAGTGCGAACACACACAGAGATACGAACAACGAACACCACTGAGCGCGTACCTCAACGGCCACCTAGTCCGCTAGCCCCACAAGTACGATCACAACGCTGATTGGACGCCACGAACACCAGTAGCCTTATCCCAGTTACGTGAGCAGGAACACAGACGACGAGCATCGAACGTATAGATGACGCACCGAGGGCAAGTCGAAATTACAGTGTCAACTCATCTGTTTATATACTGTTGTGGTCTCCAGACACAGAGACCTTGGAAATTGATGCGAATAATGAGAAAATGGACAGGATTAACCAGCTAGCGGCCGCCAGCTGAGAGGAAACGCTTAAGGCCGAAAAAGGCGTCAAAAAATTAATATTATAAAAAAATTTAATATACTAAAAAGTTGACAGTTCTGAGTAAAAATAGTCGCTTTACGTAACAATCAGTTTATCTGCATCCACTTATCTAGAGGCGGTAGTCATAAAATGTAAATGAACGGTTAAACAAATCCCGCCGGAAATGATGATTAGTGCCACTTCTCAGTTTGTCCCTCTAGTTTTGCCTAAGTTCTAATGTTTTTGAAACTCGGCTCTCTCAGGGACAGCGTCAGAGCAAACCATGAACAGGGCCTGGCAACAAATAACCGGTTAGAGTAACGGACTGCCTTGACCAAAAGTTTTGACCAGGAACTAAAAGAGTTACAACCAGGAGTAGACAACGAGTGGTGTGCCTATACCATTTCAACTTCTAGTGAATCCAACCAATCGCACCCCATGGAAACCCCACAAGATTATTGGTGTTTGGGCCGTCAAATGCTACCGACTGGACGCGGTCTGTTTTTACCTCGTCCAGCAACACCGCCCAACAACTTCTCCGAAA